GTTTTTTGATGTAGTTAAGCAACTTAACATTTCGGTTATTGCCACTTAAGTGAAAATTATCTTTGCGTTACTGAATATCGACAGAACTAATTGAGAAAATTGATTAGTATTACTTTAATATCTTGGATATAGATAGAACAGCTAATTGTGACTTTTAGTTACGCGGGATAAAGTTTGTAAAAGATTAGATTTACGAACTATCTTAATAATTCGATTACTAATTGTGGGCCCCAAAATGGGTTGCAACTGACTTTTTTTTCCCAGAGTACATTTCGTAGATCGTAGATTGTAGAACATAAATTAGTATATCTCGTAGATCCGTTGCCTCAAAATTGATAGAGTACAACATAATTTCGTATTTATTTTTATACATTTACTTTAACGAAAGGGAGTGATCGCGACTTTAACTGCGAAGGGTTGGGTGTCCCGTAATTTTCATGCAAAATATGACGAACATTATTAATATATTCGTCGAGCTAATCTCTAGTCTATCAATTTTTTATTAACAAATTTATATAAAAATTTATACAATGACGTGAGACAGTATATTTTGTCGAGAACGCTGAAACTTAATATTATTTTCATACATCATTTGAAATTACTAATTAAGGTGATGCTGGAGTCTCTCTGTTTTACCGACATTTTTTAATTAGGGATATCTTTTAATTGGCTTTACAGAATTGCAAATTTCTTGTACACGATTAAAGTTCGCACAAAAATAAAAGTCCGTCTGCTCGACTTTATATAAAAAACGAAAAAAAATTAAATATTTTGGCATGTAGAGCTGTCACATGACGATAATATTTGCATACAAAAATTCTATAGTTTATATCTGCAAAATGAGGCCGGAGAGACCTAGAGACAACATGCAAGAACAATATTGTGTACTTGGAACTAAGATTAAAAGTCTAGAAAAAAAAGATAGGGTTAGAGAAAAATTTATAAATGCAAATACAGCTGTAGAATGATAAATAGAGGACTGCATGATAATAAGATGGCACTGCAATCTGGTAGACAAGGAAAGATGTATCGTATTATTGCTCTCTCTTTCTTTTTTATGTAATATACATATACGCACACATACATAACTTTCGCGTTGTCGGTAAAACAGACAGACTCCAGCATCCCCTTAACTGGAATATTCAATTGTCGGCCTATCGTACGGAAAGTCTCTTTTCTCTGGGTCTCACGTCATTTATTTTGTATTGTTTGTGCACCCCGCGATACACTTTTAAGATGCGTCTCGCATGAATACATGCACAGTCGCACGCATCTTCGTATTTTTACGGTTGTTTTCGCGGTCGGTTTTCGCGATCGTTTTTCAGGAAAAAGCTCACGAAATTATTAATTGTTTGACTTTATTAACATTATAAATTTTAGTTTACCGTGGAATATAATTCAAATATATTAAAATATATATAACGCGAAGTAAATTTTGTTTCCGTATCTATACTTGAATTTTGAATTCGAAGATCGAGTCAACACCTATTCTCGAGCAAATAACGGATGTCGAAATATATTTGATCAGTTTTATACAGTAAATATTTTGAATTAATTTTCTTCTTTAATTAACTTCTCGTGGTCGTGCATTTTTTTTACACGATCGACGCTCGCATACGGTTCGAACCGTACGAAATATTTGTCGGTGACGATAATCCGACTATGGAAGGAATTTTCTTCCTTCCTGATCTCTGGTCAAAATGATCAGACTGTAAGGCCAGGAGCAACGAAAGGTATGTCCAATCTGGCCCAACGAAGGGATACGCCGAGTTAGTGGTCAATATTGGCCACTTTGATGTATTATGTGAAAGTGTTGTACGATATATGTTGATTTCTTCTTATGTGCAAAAATTCGGGTGGGTTATATTCTTTCCTTCTTTACTTATTCTTGCATATGTACAAGATTAAAAAGACCCCTACTAAATCGCGCGCGTATAACTCCAAACCTCTTATAAATCGCGTCGCGGTTTTAACGAAAGACTCGTAGGTTTATTAACAAAAAGGTGAAACGCGGAAAATAAATAATAATCGAAAAATAAATTACTCTTTTGGAATGTCTTTAAAAATGCTTCGACATGAAAATTACTATTTTTGTGCAAAAAATGCTGAGTATTTTACTGTTCTATTCAGAACGGATTAGCCATATTCGAAAAATAATTACCATACAGACTTTATAACGTATACAATCTATGTGGTGACTTTATCGTTTGCCATTTTTTGTCCAATAAGATAAACTTATTAAATATTTCATAGGTACGAAATCCGCGCTAACCGTTGCGTCGGTATATTCATAGTAAAACACGTGAGAAATCGTGAATAGCCAATTTTCATCACACAGATAAAATATATTACAAATCTATTACAAACTGAATATGAATTAAAACTATAGAACAAATAATTTTTCGCGATAATCGTACGCGTCGAATACATTCCCGTGATTGCAGAACTCTTTCTAGAACTATTGTAGAACTTTCAAGCGATAAAAATCCTAGCAGAAATAATTAGGAAATCATTCGGGGACAAAGTGATTTGCAGCGTGAAGTTAGCAAATCAGTTTGCACTTTTCAATTTTTTGGTCTTAAAAGCCAGAACTATGTGTTCAATGTATCAGGAACTCTAGAGCTATTAGAAAGGAAGTCATAATTCTCAACAATTAATGATTTTCCACGAAATGAGATGCCAGCTTCACACACACCATTTCCCCGCCCCACCGCGTCCACCATTTTCCCATCAGGGCGACAAATTCAAGGCGAGAGGAGAAGAGGCTTCGTCGGAGGATTGGGATATAAATTTCCCGTCGCGCGGCACTTCCGCTATGACCGGAAAATTTTTTATCCCCTCCCAACGAAACGAGGCGTGCACGATTGCACTTACGACAATATTGTAGTAGCTTTAACGCGAGGTCTCTCGATTCTAGCAACGATAAATTTCCCTGCGTTAAACTCTCCTTATTTTTAACTAATCGTATCGTTTCGGTGGATATATATCGGTTTGATGTGTGTGCATAGTATCCGGAAAGATACATCATGATGCAAATTTCTTCAAATCTTTCGCTGTCGCGCGAGATGCGGGATGTCTTGAGTACATGTCTAAGGTGATTGAATCTGCATGTAAATCGACGGAATAAGCTGCTTCCCTGATAGATTGGCGAAGAGGATTCGGAGTTCTCCGACACGATGAGGACTTGAAGAGGGTGGGGGTGGTTAGGAGGCCCGAAGGTCGAGCCGGAAGCGAGAGGGAAGACGCGCGAGCGGAGATCGAGCGTGAGCCATAACCGAGTGACAGGTCAATATTAACACTGACGCCGATGGTCGTACCGTGTACACGCGAATTCACGTTCGATATCCGGCGGAAGTAATCGAGTTCCGCGGATGGACCGAATACGCGTGCAAACCAGACGCTCCCGCATGCCGGAATTCGAGAGGGACTTGGCATTCGGTCTGGTAAATCGGTTCCATTGGAGACGCCGCGGACGAGCAACGCGTAAAAGCCGAACGGACGAACAAAGGCCGTCGCATTACTGCGATACCGCGCGTATTTTCCTTTACAACGACGGCAGGCGCGATGAATTCTCGTTTGTTCGAAATTATGCACGCGAATAACAATAGTTATAGTTCGCGCGCGTGAGCAACACATATTGTAACGTTACATACGTACGATATTTCTAAATAATACGTTTGCGAAAATTATTAACACTATATCGTATCGGTAATATAACGGCAGTTGCGGTTAAAAGAATTGGCGTCGAGACAATCCCCCGCGTTCATTCAAAAGGACTCGTGTTGAACAGACGTGGGATTGATGGCGCGGAGGAAATCGGCAGCGTGTTGTTGCGAAATCGCCGAGACATTTTTCACGATCAAGTTTAATTGCCGTGCAGTGTACGAGGTGCAGGGTCGTACGCTGGGAACGGAGGGAAATGCGCGTTAATCGCAGACGGTGATTAATGCGGGACCGCCGGGACCGCTGGCGCTGGTCACTCCAATGAAGAGACGTGGAGAAACGCCGGCTCTTTAGGGGAGGCTGTAATTTACGTTGCGGTGGCGCATACAAAGCGACAACAATCGATACAAAACGGTCGAATCAACGGCGAAACGCTCGTTTCTTAACAATCTCGTTTCCGTGCGACAGAAATTAATATCACTCTTTCCCGGGGTTGGGAAGTAACTCGTTACCCTTGTAACGAAATTACCAAGGTTGAGAAGTAACGGTAACGACGCTACAAGTAACGCGTTACTTGTAGCGTCGTTACCGTTACAATTACTTTATTTGTAACGAATGAGTAACGAAGTTACAGGTTTTTTCATTTGTAACGTTCACGGTAACGTTATAGTTACAGTTTGTCGTTACTTTACCGCACGTGAACTTTTCACTAGTTGCGTTCGGAAAACAAAGCAGTTCAGTGATCTTTAATATGATTGGTTCTTGCCTGTAGTTCTAATGGGTTTAGATAAAAGGTAATTTATTAGTATATTTTTTATAATATATTTGCCGATTTTAAGTAATAAACTGTATTTGCGAGTTGTTATAAAAATATTCCGTTGCTATATTTAATTACAAATTCTCTACAACGTTTGAAAGAAAAGATTTTATAATTGCAAGCTGTTTACGTCCCAAATTTAAATTACATTGATTAACTGGAGAGAGGAAAAAGTTTGCTGAAAGCTGTTTGGAGGATTTATGTGGCACCCAATCAAAAGATAATTCTCCAAATATTAATAAAGACATTGACAGTGATAATTTTTTTTTTCGATCCTAAATAGGTCCGTTAAATGCGTGAAGTTAAATACTTGCAATTAAAAATTTATGCTTTAAGGTCAGAGATTACTTCGCTCGCTCGTTCCGTTCATGCCGGTATTTTCCTTTCAGTCAAGAAGCCCGCGAGAGACGCGTGGATCGTTAACGTTCGCGAAAATTAGCAACGAGGGAAAGTGAACGAGGTACGTCTCGAGTGGCGTACAGAGGCGGCACCAGGGGTAAAGGCACTTTCCGTTACTCACTCCTGCATAAGCGTCGCGGTCGACGGTTTCTCGATTTCCGTGCTAATCGTGCCGCCGTCCGGCGTTCGAAGCGCAGCCTCCAACGCGGCCGCTTCCTCCTCCTCCCTTAATTCTTCCGAGGCCTCCTCGGGGATTGTCGTAATGTCCTCAATCGGCGGCAAGTCGTTCCCGTTCTCCTCCAGATGATTTTCCAGCATGGGATCGGAATTATTGTCGCCTGGCCGCGTCACTTCCTCGATATCGGAATCGATACCCTGTGGGATAGAATCGGGAAGTGTACGTTATCGTCAGTTGATGAGCTGCGCTAATTTTTTCACGTAGTTTTAAATCCTTGATGACCATTTCATTTCCAGCAAAAGAATTATTTTTGGGATATCGAAAACCATTTTCCCGTACACGTTAAAGCCAATATTTTAGCAAGGCAGAAAGACTTTCATTACACGTAATATCGATAAATCGATAGTAATAAAAAAAAGAGCGCCGCTTCGCCAAATGTGACGTGAAATGACACGCGAGCGGAGTAAATATTTAATAGGATCTCTAATCAAGTAGGACACGTATGATTTATCCGTTACCACGGAACAGCCAATTTTCCAATTATCCTACTTTCGTGATTATTTACGCCATTTACGGGGATATTGAATTTGTCTGTCGGAACATGTAACTTTATTGGCGTGTTATTTTAATTAGTTATCGACACATAGCTGCGCTTTAATCCGATTTTAGAAGGGTCCAATGCAGGTCTGAGGATATCGCGACTAGGATTCGATAGTTTATCGAGCGCTGCGGCACTCGCGTTCCAGAAACTATCTCCCATCGCTCAGCATCGATTGACGAAAATGTAAAAGACTATTGAACTTCATACGTATGGTAGGTCTCGATATCGCTTGTAATACCTTATTCGATTATATCAAAATAAAACTTTGCAGAGTAATCAACGCGGATTTCAAAGGTGTGCAAGGATAACAGATCTGTGACTATGCAATTATGCCCTTCTCGTACTAATCCGTCGTAAGTGAAATGGCGAGTCAAGGACCTCGGGGGTCCCGTAATTCACGCCGCGCCGCTCGAAATCTTTTCGAGTAATTACCCTCGGCTCAGGCTCAAGACAGATGATTTTTAATCTGCAAGATCCCTCATCGTACCTGTGCAAAGTCCATGTAGAAGGAGTCTCTAGAGTCGGAGCTGCCCTGGCGTAGCCGGAGGCTGAGATCCGGCGAGCTCTCGCCCATCTTCCTTTATCTCCTTATCTCCCTCTCGCTTTTTCACCTCCCCTCGGGGGCTCAACCGCGCCTCCTCCCTCACGGGGGGGAGAGTCCCCGACTCTCCCTCGCGCCTCTCTCCTCGCTCCTTTCAACCCCCTTTCGCGCGCCGACCCCCGCGCGCCTTTGTCTTCGACACGAGCTCCTCGCTCCTCTACGGACGGGGAATTCTAAAGAGGGTGGGCCCTTGTGCACACAATCCACCGGGTTTGCAGCCTGAAAGAATCGGCCCTTGAGAGACAGATCGGCTTCAACGGCGCGCCGCGACTCCTCCACCTGCCTTTCGCGCATCGAGAGGAAGCGAGAGAGGCTGCTCTCGACCGCGCGATGCGAAAATATTCCCCGTGAAAAAGGGCCACGGCGAGAGCGCGCGTGGCCCTCGTGTCCCAGCGAACAACCCCGGATATCAAAGGCGCTCTCCTCCACCCCTTCGCGAAAGAGACGGTCGCGCGAGCGCGCCCCGGGAAGCTATGACTTTCATTTCGACGCTTATCCCGGTTATTAGTCGTCGAAGAATCTCCGGGGTAGTTGCTGAAAATTGCTCTTTAAGACCCTCCGCTCGAACGTGCATATATCATCGCTGATTTTGCCTTGAAGACCGTCGCGTGGCACGTGAATAACTAGAACACGAAAATAATGTTTTCTTCTATCTCGGCCTTTTCTTCGGTTCACTCTTCAATTAACGGGCAGTCCCTTTCGCTAATTATGGATTGGTTTGCCCATTTTCTTGGCAAGCTAACTAATAGTTAAATTATATGCCTATGGTCTAGTTTTTCATTTTCTGGTTAACCAGGTCGGTCGACTCTCTATCTTTTTTTTATATTATTATCTAAGAAGGGATAGAAAATCGACCAACTTCTGATTAACAATTAACCAGAAATTGAAAACTCAGGCTTATCTTTGTTTCATTTGAAGGAAGAACAAAGACATACATTTAACTATTAGTTAACTAACCAGGAGTTTGGAACAATCGGCCCTGTCTTTGTCTAATTTGAAGGGAAAACAAAGATAAAAATATACATATGATCGATTAACTGTTAGTTAGCTTCCCTAGTAGCACAGTGCATTGGCTAAACGTTGGCCCAACACAACCAAATATTGGGCCAATGTTTAAGCAATGTTTGTTCAATGCACTGTGCTACTAGGGTTACCTCCTGTTTCAACCTCCTGATAAGTTAACTAATAATATAATTAATTTTATTATTATTATTATATAATATATTATATATTAATATAATTATATTTTTATCTTTGTTTTCCCTTCAAATTAGACGAAGATAAACGTATAATTTAACTATTAGTTAGCTTATCAAGAGAAGAACCGGTCTTAGTCTCTTGTACAATGTAAAGTGGAGAAGAAATTGCCTTTTATCTCTCGGACGATATAAAGTACGCGCGATGCATTTTCATCGCGCGTACTTTTTACGCGAGAAACTTTGTCCAACTGCTGCCGGGCAATCCCGAAAGCGGTCCTCGATGTCCTTAATTACGTAAGGCGCAGGGACGTACTTTGTGGAAAACTAATTACGCCAGGTAGGAAATTAAATCTGGCTCTCTTCGAGTTAATTATCCCGTTCGCGGCGCGGCGATAACTTCAATCGAAGCTGTAAAACATAATTATGGCCGCCACGACGGTCGTTCGAGAGCGGCCGCGCCGTCGACCGGGGATTCCGAACGTGGTCCCCGCGCGCAAGACGATTTTATTAATGCACGAGCCCCGTAAATTCTACGGCAGGTTAATCAAAATGCATTGACGCGCGAGCACACAGCGTACGAAACGTATCGTCGTGCCGAAGTTGCCGTTTACGCTCGGGGCGAAGCGAAGACTTATGTGCTTAGGCGCTTAGGCGTGTTGTTTCTAAGTCTTACAGGCGAGCTCGCGCTGCGCGCGGACTTGTCGTCGGCAAGGGTAACAAGATACTCCCGTTAAGACGCTACTTTACGCGCGGGGAATGCATAATTACTCTCGCGAGAGTTTCGGCCGAGGCCCTCGGGCGATTGCGAGCTCTCGAAACTCTCGAAGGGCGCCTACGCGCGTATAAATCCACGAGCGGCGCGTGTCTCGCGTCCCTGTTTCGACAGCGTGGAAATTGAAGAAACGCCGATCGCGGCTCGGCTCGGCACTTGTCGCGACGATATTCGCTAATCGAATATCGACATGGCTACGATCGCACGGAGCGCAAATAACGACCGTGTCGCAGCTTCAGCTGAAAGGTATCCACCGAAACCACGGATCGAAGCGGACTCGGGTTTATTCGCCGCGAAGGAAAAAACAAATGTCTCCCTTCGGAGGGAGACGCGCCCGTCATCCCGCGGGGTGATTCAGGCGAAACGTCCTTCCTCCGGCCTTCCAGGACCCGGAAGGCTCGAAACGTCAATGAACATTCTTCCCGCTCTCAGGGGCTCGTCCCCAACGCCATTCCGCGACGGACCCTTCCCGAACGCTTTACGGCCGGTACACGTACGTGGCGTCGAATATTTCTCCATCAAAATGACTCCCCGCGCGCATCAGGGAAACACCGGGCGCAGCAGAAATAAAACGTGGGGTCGGGCTCCTGCGAATCGACCGCGGTAACGCAGATAGTTCCGCGAAATAATTACGTTATAATCGCTTTCTCGCGTTGTTCTCAGGCATAACAATAAATTATATCGATCTCCGTTGGAGAGTTTCTCCGTGGAATATAAACAAGGGGTCAATTCTGTATCTTACACTATAGCGAAAATGCTAAAAGTGAATGCCCCAGTAGCGCAATACATTGGCGCAATATTAGGAAATAATGTAAATTTAGTATTTCCTATACTGGTTCCAGTATTGTAAGATGGACGCCTTTTCTTATTTAGCCATGTCTATTTAGCAGCACTGGTCTAATATTGTATCAATATAAATCTAATATTATATACTTATTATCGTGCAATATTTACATTTATTCCATGGCCAATATTGACTTTACGTTGGACAATATCGGCCAATGCATTTTTAATATAAAGCCAACGGCACACGATACTATTTTTCCTACTGGATTGCTTGCGAGAGCCAATCAGGATTCAGCCAGAAGTCACCTGATCTAAAACTCTGCATTCAGATTGGCTCTCGCAAGCAAGCCAGTAGGAAAAATAGTATCGTATGCCGTTGGCTTAAGAGGACGGTTAGTAAGAGACAACGTTACCCTAGTAGGACAGTGCATTGGCTAGACATTGGCTAAATATTGGCCCAATGTCTAGCCAATGCGCTGTGCTACTAGGGTAGCTTTGTCCTTCTTAGACTCGACGGCAAATCGACCAATTTTTCCTCCACACTATTCACGAATATACGAATCGCGTATTACGTAATCGCGCATAGTGTGGCGCTAGCTTAAGATACAGAATTGACCCCCAGATTCTGAACGAGGATCGGTAAATAGCTGAATGAAGCGAGCGGCCGAAGTTAAACGGGGAAAGATAATCGCGGTAGCTTTCGCATTTGGATGGAATAATTTATGGGCGCCGCGATATACAGGCGAGACGCGGCCGCGTGACGACACGCGGCGAGGCGGAAGGATCGCGCTCGCGCGAGGATCGATACGAAGACACTCTATATCCGGCATCGTTAATACCGTCGCTTCTCCGGCCACAGTTGCCGCTTTCCCGAGACTTTCCAACGATTTTCCGTCGCGTGCGCGGCGAAAGGCGGCCCGCGATATTTTCCACTCCGCGTTCCATGCCGCGTAGCAGTTCATTGCCTCTTTGCGCCGCGGCGATGTCGCGCTCGCGATGTTTTATCTAAACCACACGTCTCTCCGCGTTGCTGGACGCACGCAATAAAGCACGCGACGCGGGATGAAAGATAAACGCCGGCAAATGATAGGCTGGGAGAGCTATCGAGCGACAATCGGAAACCACGTCGGCGGCTTGACGTTAGCGTGATGTTTGCAAAACCAACGGGGGGGGGGAAACGTCTTCCGCATCGAGATATTTCGGTATTAAAATTGTATCGAAGTAGAACTAATGCGGAACCTAAACGAATACCGTGGCCGCATTCATCCACCGGAGCCTCGACGCTCATTTTCCGCGAGAGGCCATCACCCCTCTGCTCTGAATTATTTATCTCAAATACGAAAACCCATCGGGGTCACGACGATATATCTACCCCGCACAGGTAAAAAAGCCCCGCGGATCGAGCCGAAAATACTTTGGCGAATTTCGGCCATCTATTTCAAGAATACTCCGATCGATCTCGCGACGTCGCCTCGGGAATCTCGTGCGAAGTGCCGCGGGGACAATTCGCAGCTACGCACAAATAATATAATTAAGACATAGAGGAAAGTCCCCTATTATGGGATAGCAGGGTCTCTGTTAAATTAATAGGCGATACCAGTTGATTCCGCCGTGAATTAATTGCCCGCGGCGCGAAATCTGCTTAGCGGAAAATTAATTGTTAGGTCGTGCAATCGTCGCGAAAAAAGATTTGTGGCTGAATTTGGGTGCCGAGACCTGCTATCTCATATTAGAAACCTATCTCGTGACAGAGGACTTCGCTAGATCCACCCCGCGCGGCGTTCGACGCGGCGCGAGGGAGAAAGAGGAAGATGCGAATTGTACAAAACGCTCTGGCGCAGAACGCGGGAGCTTGGAACGCATCGCGGGCTCTTCCTCTCGACGCCCGAGCGTCGGGCCGCGTGATCGACTCCGGCGCGGAAGGGAAAGAGGCGGGCATGGCATGGCACGGCACTTACGGGGAGAGCTCAAGGCGTCCGTCGCCTTCCGGCATTCATCTTGCCAGCACCCTACGTCGTTCTCCCGCGGGCGACGCATCCTCTCCCTCTCACATCGCGCTGCCCGCCGTGCAGCAGCAGCAGCAGCAGCTTTCCGTTTTCACTTTCGTTCGGCGCCTCCTCTGGCGCCGGGCACGGCCGCGGTTCCCGTCATCTGCCGTCCTCCGCCGCCACCCGGGTCCACCGCGAATCCATAATATCCCGGATGTAATCGGTGCCTAACGCCGCCGCCGCCGCCACCGCCGCCGCCGCCGCACCACCCACAGGTTGTAAACACACGCACCGACGCGTTTCACACGCATACACGCGCACCTGAGGGCGGCTCGTCGTCTCTCTTTCTCTCTCTCTCTTTTTCCGCGTATGGGCCGCGCGTTTTCCCTCGCGAGCTCCTCTACGCCGCTACCCTCCTTTCCATTCGCGGCGCGAGGGAGAGACCGGGCCGAGAAACGCGCGCTTCCCGATTAAACTTCCCGTTGTTTTTCCTTTTTCTATTTGTCACCGTCGACGGATAATTCTCTTTTTACATTTCCTCGACTTTTTTTTGCAAATTCCCGGGAAGGAGGCGCGAGGGAGGGAGGGAAGACGGGACGGTGCGAATAGGAAAAGAAGGGAGGAAAATCTCGTTTTCCCGAAAATCTCGGAGCTCTCGGGGACGGAGCCGCGGATCAATCGTGGCGCGCGTGTACGAAGTACGGAGACACTTCGGCACCTCCCGAAGGGCGCGCCGCGCGAGACATCGACATCCTGCGAGAGCCGCCGGGCTGCTGCGATGGCCAGGCCCGGGCTTCGGCGACGGGAGAGCGCCCGCGCCACGACGCCGCCGCCGCCGCCGCCACCCGTCGCACACCGCTGCGCCGAGCGACGTCGTTGCATCGTCATTGCGGCGCACGCCCCGTAGTGGGAGGATGGACCCCTCGGCGGATGGCGAGAAGATTCACGTTCCGCCTCGATTTTCCAGGGAAAAGTCAAGTCCTCGGAGCGGATTCCACTCTCCTCCTCCCCCGATATCTCTTTCGTTTCCTGCACAATTTCCCGCGTAGATATTCCGGTTGCCTCTCCCGATTGAGTCAGGAATAATTAGAGACATTGCGTAGCCGCGTCTCGGTTTACGTAGCTCGAAACGCCGTTTGCTTTACGATTAAAGAGACGGGCATGCGAAATTGTAAAGACATGCGGGACTTGAACAAGGAAAACGTTTTTATTTGCGCCTTTTCGTAAAATAAGATATAATGCGGTGCGTATTTCGGTGTAAAAAATAAAATGAATCTTATTCTATATATATATATATGTATATATGTATAGGCATATACGTCTTATCCACAGAGTAGAAATTGTAGTAGTTATGATTCTTGTAAAATAATGATCATAATACAAGCATTATGGGTTTGCAGACGTGTATATACATATATATATGTATATATATGTATATATGTGTGTGTATGTGTGTGTGTATACGCTTAGTACAATGTTCTTATCGTATTATGTGAACTAAGATATAATAATAAATTTGTAAACATTATAGTACAATTTCGCGGATCTAATCGCTCTCGTCAGTCTCATGCTAGAATTCCGCGCAATCTTCTTTCATCCATGTGTATTCGATCGGCGTTTGAACATTGAACTGTATCGCACATATTATGCATTAATTTCCCACACATTTTTGCCAAGCCAGTCCTCCGCACGTTATCGAGACGATCACGTATATCACAACCTGCGTTGGGGGGGAAAAAATGGACATTAGATTGCAACGGAAATTGGAGGGATTTGAGACTGAACCCGCAATGTTGAGCTTACAATTAAAATACCGCCGACAATAACGTAGATTTTGACATTCTTCCAAAATAAGGAGCGCGCTAGGTTTCTACTCGTCTTCCTGAACGTCACAGACTGAAATGAAAAGTTGGGCTTTAATATAGCGTTCAAGGATTGATAACGATTAAGGTCGATTCAGACTGTACGACACGGACCGTCACGTTCAAATATTGACACGACAAAATATTGAAACATGCGTTTTAAATGAGACTGTCTACACTAACCGACATTGACCTGCATGTTCCGTGAACGGAACGTACCGACGTTGACCGACATTCTCACAAAGAATATTTTGTCGGTCCGTGTCGGTAAGTATCGGTACATGTCGCTGCTGATCAGGTTCAATCAATTTTAATCATAAAAATTGTGGCATTCTAAAATACTGGTAAAACTTGTCCTCATATTTTAATAAGTCTTTGAACAATGTCCAGTGCTGTCTCTCAACTTTTCTTTTTTTTTTAATATTCACAGTACCCATTTTCGATTTTTTCTCTTTATCTTTTTATCTTCCATTTTGTTTTCATATAAAAGTAAAGCTATAAGAGTTAATTCTCATTGCTGAATGATCCATCCATTCTGACTACTAAACGTCAACTGACGAAATCCGTCGCTTGACGGACGATTGCCGAAACAGTCTGAACACACGCAGTTTAATGTCGTGTCGGTGCCGATCCGTGTCGTTGCCGGAACGTGACGGTCCGTGTCGAATAGTTTGAATCGACCTTAATTATGCGCGCGCTTTTACATACATTGGCAGACAAGTTTTCCGTTTTGTTCACAAGCAGTTCCAACCGCTCGCCGCGCATCGCTATATTGTCGATATTTTTCACCATAATGTCCTTAAGCTCATCCAGCTCGCCGTGAACTTGAGACAATCTGTCGAGATCTTTGGATTCGCTATAATGCCTCTAAAGGGAGGAGACGTAAAGCAGCGATGAGAGATGCAAAACGTTCCAAGACGTCGAATTACAATAATCATTCGCGACATTACCATTTCGTTGGCCAAAACGTGGCCAAACTCCGTGTTCATGGCATAGGCTACGGCAGTTTGAGCACCTGGTCCATAAACAGCCGAGAATCTTCTCTTAATTTCGTTGAGATACAAAAATGCCCTGGATCTTTGGAAATCCTGAAACGAACCTTCACTGTTTATCCTCCCTTATCTTGATGACTGTCTCTTGATTCGCGTCTAGTACAGTGATGGACAGAATGGTTGCGACACCCTGTTTAGGCCCGGTTTCACCAACGTTGTTTAGCTTAATTCGTTCTTTGTCTCTTTTCAACTGTTACTTTAGAAAGAGATAAACATGAATTAAACTAAGATTAAAGTTAAGCGCGTTTGGTGAAACCGGGCCTTGGTGAGTTTAGAAACACACATTTAGATTCGGGTTTACGTTCCGAAACAATTTCTCCGAGGAAAATTGTGCTTGAGAAATAGATTGAAAAGGCTCAAAATGCTTTTGGAATAGCTATCGAGTAAAATACTCGTATTCCTCGGAGATGTTGGAACGTAATCTAAAAAAAGTGTCGACCGTTCTGTCCGTCACTATACATACATCATCGGTAATGCACATGTAAATAAGGCGATCCTCGCAGATGTAGTGAAAGAGATAAGGCCCTTGCGAGTACGTGAGCTTGTCATTGTCCGGTGGTATCTTCGCCAAGATCTTCGCCGTAACCTCCTCAAAGTTTCCGACGCACGCAGCATGTTTCGCCAGTATAATTGTCCCGCGGGCCACCACGCTGTATAAAATTGGCATATTGGCAACCTGTAGGAAAAATTGCGTACGTTTGATTAAACGAAGCGAAACGCATAACACACGAAGTCGAAGATATTTTCTCTTAGGGCCTGTTGCACGAACTTTGGCGAACTGCTAACTGGAGGTTAATCGATTCTCTGTTTCAGCTTAGATAATAACATAAGGAAAGTTAATCTCTGGTGTTAGCAGTTACCTGACATTCGAAACTGAAAACTCTCAATCAAATACGAATAATTATCAACACGCAATCAAAAGAGGCCAATTTTTACGAGCACAAAGGTTGACAATATAATATATATTTAAATCAAAAATTAGGCTTGGCTGCACCAACGTCACGGAATGTTAACTGTAGCTTAATTCACTCTTGGTCTCTTTCTGCTTCTCTTAAGGCCTGTGTCCACGGTGCTAGAACTTGGACCAAGTTCTAGCATCGTGGAGACAGGTCTTTAGAAAGAGACAAAGGCCCGGTTTTTCATTTTCTGGTTAACTGTTAACCAGAAGTCAGTCGATGCTGTCTCTTCCTAGATAACAATGTAGGAAAAAAAAATGGTGAGTAGACTAATCTCTGGTTAATAGATAGCCAGAAAATGAAAACCGGGCCAAAGAGTAAATTAAGCCAGGGTTCAAGTTGAACGATGTTGGTGGCAACTGGACCTTAAAGCACAATCCTATATTTGCTAGAACAGTAAACATCACTACTTGTAGTCGATTTTGAACCCCGAATCTCCCCCAATATTGTCATTTTCGACGTTAACTCACTTTTTCTTTGATCAACGCGGTAAATGATAATATTATAACAAGTGACAATATATGCGGTCCCAGTGGGACCTGCTTATCATATCACCACTGAAAACGACAGGCTGCAACGTAGCTGCGCGTTGCAAATGGCAAACGTCTGATCTGCTTTCAAGCATGCTCGTTAAGGACATCGATAACGATACGAATTAGCTGCGACGTACGAGCAGTAATTGCCGCATAAATTACTCCTTAACCTCCGAGCCCGTGATGTAACGGAGTCGAGCTCCCAAGGCTCCTGTCGGCTGTGATCGGACTTTGAAATTCGGATGCGGGAAACGCGAAACCGGACCACCTTTTCCGACCGCGGGGTGGACGATCTGCGAGCCAGTGTTTGACCTACCTCGATACAAAACAAAGCCCGTTTAATTGAAGGAACAGCTGCGCACTTTCCCCCTGCCTTACGCCCTCGACGACGCGGCACGCGTGGTAGCGCGTGAGTCTCCGCCTATCCAGGAACAACAATCAATCGATTGATCGGTCGCCTCTCGTTGGGAGCCTCGGCCAAACATCGGAACACTCCCCGCGAGCGCGAAACAGTCACATTTCCATGAGATGACCGATGAGCCAGCACGGGTGACAGTTGATCAGTGGCAGCGCGGTGGGGCGTCAGACGTTCGCGCCTGCTCGAGCTTGCGCACGTCGCGAGGCGGGAAATTTGAAGGCGGCGCGTCGACATCCGCATTTCGACGAGATATTAAAGATCGACTTTGAATTTAATCGAATTGCATTTATATTGTATATGTAATATCGAATATCGAATGCATTGCCTTGGATTGATTTATGTTATTGAATTATCAGACTCAAGTCCATTACTTGAGCATTAGATAAGATTGCATCTCGCGAGCCTCTTGATATTGCATTTTTTTTAGAATAAAATAGAATATAGTCCAATCCTAAATATACCCAAGCGAAACGAGAGTCAAAATGGCGTTTAAAGTAGCGTTAAAATGATTTTTAATAATCATTACGAGGCCATTTTTACGCCCTGTGGACGTGACGTAAAATAATTAATTCTATCCGCATGAATAGAACGTTATATCGTTTGATTAAACTGATCGGAGTTGATCGAACTCGCCCTTGTCGCGCGATGTAGTAGCGCGTCTGACCCCTGAAAGTCCGGAGCGACCGGTCGTAGCGGACCGGCGCATGTGCCACCCACGCTCGTAGAAAGCCGCGTCCCAATTCTGGCCGACGGTCCTCGCACGCCACATCGATACCGTCTACCTTCGTATATGTCGACGCGCCGGCGACTACACCGACGGCTGCGCGATTATAATGCTGGAAGGAGATAGCAGAACGCGAATAGATAACGGTGTCCATCACGTGGGGAAGGAGATGGTCGTGATGTGCACATGAAGCTCGACTCAGTGCCGCGAAGGCTGTGAGGGGACGAGGTACACCGGCCGAGTGTCCGATACCCTCGGGAACGGTCCCGAGGACTCCGCTGAAGATCCTTGCTGAGGACTAGTGGTCCTGAGACCGCGATCGACCCCGCAGAGTCGCCTCCGACTCATCGCGACACTCGTCGACCTCGACTATGGGTAAATATAATGCAGCTTGCTGGTGTCGTTTGACGCAATCATCTGTTTTTATTTGTGAAAAAAGGACTTCGGACTGATGTAAATGAGTCTTTTCGGTTGATCTTCTTTTTGAGAGGAATGTGTGCCGGTTGAATGAGTAGGAATCGAGAACGGGTCAATGTACGCGCGGCTGATAAGAAGTGAGAGAAAATGACAGGAGATTGTATGAAACGAAAATGAAAAGTAATGTGAAGCGGATGGAAGTCCGACGATAAAAGTCCAGGCACACGCTGGAAAGTCCATTTTTTACGCTGGAATATTTTGACGTGCATTCCAGATTCTTTCCAAGCTGAAAAATACAAATTAAAAATGATTAATAGCAATGTGAATTATATTACCAAACATAATGTTTGAAGAGAGTGTGTTAATGAAAAATTCAAATATGTAGGTAGATGATTCAGTAAATTATAAAACGAATGATGTAACAAATGAGAGAACGAGCTAGAGACGCAGTATAAGATAAGGAGCTTGGAACTTACGATGCTGCTTGTTTGATATAAGCTGATAATGATGATAAATTACTCCGAATCTGTTGTAAATTCGACTCAAGAACGAAGATGAGAGCGAAGAATGAGAAACTTCAATTTCGTATCCAACAACATGTTTGCGTTTTATAATTTAGGGCAGGTTGTTCCAATCTCTTGGTAAGTTAACTAATAGTAAGTTTATATGTCTTTGTTTTTCCTTTAAATTGAAAAAAGATAGACATATAATTTAACTATTAATTAGCTCACCAAGAGATTGGAAAAACCGGCCCTTAAAGAATATAAAGCACTCTCAATCTATTCGCTGCATGCCATAATTTTCAACTACTAGAATTAATTAGCTTAATGCATTACCTGCGTTTTTATGACATAAAATATATTTCGGTATTTCACGATTGCTCGCTGCTTCGTTTTACATTATCTAGGAAAATGGTTGGGAAACGCGCGATTTTAGTTGCAATAATTTGTAACGTGAGATAAGAAATAAGTTTATTTACACACGTTACCTGGATGAGACACTTAATAAAACCTGCATGGATATACAGCTTACATTCCAGAAAGGCGTAAGAGTGGAAAAGTATTATAACTCGGGGAATGACTACACGGAATCCGGCGTTTTGCACGGCACATTTACTATGAAAGACAGATACGTTCGTTTCTACCAGTCTTCTTCCTCTCACAATCAATAGTTGTGCTTCGTCACTAAATAACACTGAACTGGACAAAAAAATTTGATAAACGCGCAATTTCCTGCCGGCCATTGTAACAAACACTGTAATCTATTTTGGGCCTGTCAGTTATTATTTATTGTTCGGTTATTTTAATATAAACTGCTATTAATTAATCCCTCGCGAATTTCGACACGCTCTTGTCATCTGCATAAAAATTTTTATCGGCAATTCGTAAATTTAATTCAAGTCGAAGTAAGCAAGTTATACTCGAAACGTTAAAGGAACAGCTACGTGTCGCTCGCACTCGAATAATTTCTGCGTTTCTTGTAGTATTGATTTCGTGAGGGGAGCACGGTTCCCTAGGAGCAATAGGGGATTTCCCCCTTCGGTAGGAGAGAAAGTGCGTTCCCGAATAGAGGGATCGAATAATATGCGCTCGTCGTTCTACCAACGATCTGTATACGACCGAGAAAAACTTGCGAACAAATGTTGATACCAAATTAAATGATAACTTAACAAATGTTT